GCGTTACTTCCTCGGCATAGAAGTTGCTCATACACCCGAGGGAGTTGTTCTCAGTCAGCGCAAGTACTTACTCGACATCCTTGCCGATTCTGGGGTTATTGGCAGCCGACCCAGTGCATTTCCTGTGGAGGAGAATCATCAGCTCACTCGTCCTGCAACTGCTGACCACCCCGATCCTGCAGCATATCGGCGTTTGGTCGGACGCCTTCTTTATTTGACAGTCACACGGCCCGATATTACGTATGGGGTCAATATTCTCAGTCAGTTCGTTAATGCTCCCACTCGTGCTCATATGGATGCGGCGACCAGGATACTCCGTTATCTCAAGAATGCGCCGGGTCAGAGGCTCTTCTTTCCGTCTGCCAATTCTCTTGATCTCACTGCTTATTGTGACGCAGACTGGGGCGGTTGTCAGACTACTCGACGATCCACTACAGGTTATGTCATCACGCTAGGCGGTGTTCCTGTGTCATGGCGTACAAAGAAGCAACAGGTTGTTGCTCGGTCTTCTGCCGAGGCCGAATACAGGGCCATGGCTAACACTGTAAGTGAAGTACTTTGGTTGCGTTGGTTGTTACGCGAGCTTGGTGCGCCCCAACGCCATTCCACTCCGCTGTATTGTGATAATCAGGCTGCACTTCATATTGCTCAGAATCCTGTCTTCCATGAACGTACTAAGCATGTGGAGATGGACTGTTATTTTGTTCGTGAGCGGGTTCAATCTGGTGACATTGCGCCCGCCAAGATTAGTTCTCATTTACAGCTGGCAGACATGTTCACTAAGGGATTAGGTGCAGACCGCTTTCACTTTCTCCTGTCCAAGCTGCGTGTTCGTAATCTTCACAGTGCAGCTTGCGGGGGAGTAATGGGCTCGGCCCAACAGTCTGCTGCCGAGGCCTCGGACAAGTCCAAGTCCTATGCGTATTGTGCAAGGACTCCTAATTCCCATGCATGTTCATTGTTTGATTGCCCTCACTGTTATGCCCTAGTTGAGATAGAGAAAGGGTATAAATACCATGTAAGGCCGCCGGCCACCATTGAAGAATAAGCCTAATAAAATATCAGCTGGTAGAGCTTTGCTCTCCCGTGGACTAGTCCCGTCAATCGGGGATACCACGTAAATCTCGTTGTCTCGTGTCTAGTTATTCGTCGTTTATCGGATATTTTACACGTATCATAACACCATTGCTGGAGATCAGACGTGTTCGTCAAAAACATATGAATAAACAATGACTTGATTATCATTAATTAGCCTTTCGTAATGAATAACTATCCTTTTTGTCTTACATTACTTTTGGCCGTAATCGCCGGAACGACCATCATAAATTAAGAAAGACTAACGGATTGACGCCAATGGCTGGAGGACTAGGAGTAGGAGGAGCGCCCTTCCATTCCATGTATAAAAATAAAGCTCTCTCTGCTATTAATTAGTTTGTCCCAACTCCCAATCGATATTCTGACACCGTTCACCGTCGGCCAGCCCCCTTTTATATTCCGAGACTTGATAATTGTAAGGTAAACTTAAATTAACTATGCATGATAATTAGTCATTATTGTAATTACCATATTGATATGGAGAAATTACAATTCTCTCTCCCGATTCATTTCCAGATGGCAGTATCAATCGTTGCCGTCGTCATCATCACGGTAATATCCACCGTCGCGACGGTCAGCGAGGCGGCGCCGTTGTCCTTCAACTTCACGAGCTTCGAGCCGTGCAGCGACGCCGCCGTCAAGCTCTACGGCGACGCCTACTGCGCTGATTCCGGCGTCCGGGTCACCGGGTTCGATTACTACGTCTCGGGTCAGGCCCGGTACCCGAAACCGATGCGGCTGTGGGACCGGTCCACGGGCCAGCTGGCCAACTTCACCACCGCTTTCTCCTTTGCCATCGACAACGACGGCGGCAGCTGGACCTGCGACGGCCTGGCCTTCTTCCTCGCCTCCGCCGGTTACGTCACCCCGACCGATGCCTCCGAGGGCCGGCTCGGGCTGGTGGACAGAAACCACACGTTCAACGCCACGGCGGCAGACAACCCGTTCGTCGCCGTGGAGTTCGACACCTACGACAACGCGTGGGACACGTGGAGAAACGAGAGCCACGTGGGCATTGACGTCAGCTCCATGCGTTCCGTGGTCAGCAAGAGGTGGAAGAGCTACGTGGATGGGACGCTGATGTGGGCGCGGGTGTCGTACGACGGCGGGAAACTGTGCGCTCTTTTCACGGGAGTGACGGAGAACCTGACGGACGTTCCTATGGATAGTGTGTGTTATGAGGTTGATTTGAGGAATTACTTGACGGAGTGGGCGGTGTTTGGGTTCTCTGCTTCGACGGCGTGGAGGTACCAATCTCACACTGTCTACTCTTGGTCCTTCTCCTCCGATTTGGACTCCCATCACGACTAGATTGGGACCATGATTACAGTAATTTATCACACAACCTGTCCATTGTGTAATGTTACCCATGCATTGTACACTTACAATAAGGATGGAGTATATATATTAGTTATTATCTAATTTATCGAGACTTCTAATACCATAATTATGGTCAACCTCTTGAATAAGACTTCAAAATCATATTTTATGATAGCTGTTATTGATATAAGAGAAGACATATAATGCATATATGCCTGTTTTGATCTAAATTCACACAAATTTGATTTCGTATATCTTCTCAAAATAAAGATTACCACACCAAATAAGTTAGATGAATACTTACACTGTTAAACATCGGAAAAAAATTTCTCTTATTTTTTTTTCGGTGCAGTATTCGGATTGTAATCTATGGATCTTTCGCTTCATAAATTTGAAAAAAATAAATTGGTATAACTTGGGTTTTGAAAAACCATGAATATATGAGGGTTTTGGGTTCATTGTGGATATGATAAATCCTATTATTTGTTTGATATATTTCATGATGGATTTTGTTAATTAAATTTGTATGTATGAAGTGTAATTTACCTTTATTGCCATCAATGATATAACAATAGATAAAATATAAGAGGTAGGTTGGTAAAAAATGATGGCCTTCAACCGTGATCTATTCCCAATTACCATACTATCATATCATATCCTATTTGTTTGTCATGTTTATGACATGTACACAAAATAAGGAGAATACATACTAATAAGCATAATGTTGCCACAATGACAATAATAATAAATGCAAAAATTTCATTTAACTTTTAACGAAACATATATCGGTTACCAATTCATTGTCCTCCCTTTCAAAAGTAACATATAGCAACATATTAGAACCGGAAAACAAAGAATTACACGTTCTATGAAATGTTTAAAGGAAACAAGAACACAAGAAAGAGTATAAAAAATCTAACTCATGTTTGCAAATTAATTGAATATTCATATTATTTATTTGTTGTTAATTAATTAATTATTTATAATGTACAATATGTAAATGTGAGGGCAACCTTGGAATTTTAAAAGTTCATCAGGGTATATGGGTAAAAACCCCTCATGGATTTATGGCATATTACAAATCTCACATTAATATGTGGGATTTACAAGTCTGTAGGGTCCACGGATTTGAACCCTTAAAATTCGTGGACCCCAAGGATTTGGTCCCTAAAAGAAATACAAGCAAACGATGGATTCTCGTTAAATCCATGATGGAATGGATTTGGGTCATCTAAATCCATGAAGCAAACGACCCTGAATTTCTTAAGAGATAAAAGAGACTCAAATCTACAATCTATGGTTAAGGATTTTGGATTTGACCCTTCCTCCGGCTTAGTCAGGATAGAGTGAATCACCTTAGCGTGTTTAACATGAGTAATCAAATATTAATTTTTTTCGTTTTAAGTGGGTTGTAATCTAAGGATAATTAAAGATATTTTATTTTTCCTACTTTTCTTAACCAACTATTGTCTTCTTCGTTCTAACTTGGATTTCAAATTTGTTTTTGCACAGATGAAATGAATTCGTTGTGATCTACAAAATGAGATCAATTTTCAATATTTGAGAATTTATTTTCATACCTCTCATTACCAATTCCATACCAAATGGTATCTCCTTCGTTTTTAAGTCTTTTTTTTAATATAAACACAAAAAAACGAGTTCATCATGATCTATTGGATCTATAAATTTCCGGATGAAAAAAATCCAGGACAAAAAAAATACCACCTCATGACCACCCTGTTATGAGGGTGGTATCTTGTGGTACACAATGTTGATAATCATTATGACAGTTAGTATATTTCTACTATCATGTATTCAACCATCCTACAGTCTGGTATGTTCATACCTCCATGATAAACTTTCATAACTTATATTATGCTCTTATTTTATACCAATCAGAGCCGATCAACAAATTTTAATACTTCCCCGCTCCCCTTGACAAGCCCACCTCCCCCGCTGCTCCACCAACCCACAGCCGCCTGTACGGCCTGATTCGGATCCACAAAAGAATTAAAACAAAAGATATCCTCAACACTGCTGCGATTGAACCTGCATTTCGAATCGCCTAACGTGGTATCGTTGGGGGCAGGCTGGGCGGAGGGAAATCGATGGTTTAAGACCGTCCTCCCTGTACATATCATATAGATCTACCGCTTCTGAATATTTCCCACCATGATGACCCACTTGAATCTCGCCTCTATCTCTGTTAGAGAGTGGTATAAGATCCAGCAGAACCTTCTCCCAACAACTCGAGTTATTGGGAGCAACTGGTTCTTGACATGGATCTTATACCACTCTCTAACACGCCCCCTCAAACGAAAGCCAACTCATGGGCTTGAAGTTTGCACAGGCCCACCATACCGTGTGCTTTAATCAACTGTTAATATTGGGGGTCGTGGAGATTCGAACACGCGACCATTTGGTCAAACCAGCTCTGATACCATGTCAAGAACCAGTTGCTCCCAATAACTCGAGTTGTTGGGAGAAGGTTCTGCTGGATCTTATACCACTCTCTAACAATCTCTTTCTTCTTCACTAGATTCTTGCCCCAATTTAAGTTTTATAGAGATGGCGCTCCCAAAATATCAAATCGTGCTCTGGTGAAATGTAACTCGCGAATTTTACGATAACTCCCAAGAAATCGCGTTTTGGCGATCTGATGCGGGATCGTCGATGTTGGAGTGGCGAATTAGGTTACCTAAGTATAAACTAGTAAAAAATGTCAATGTTTTTTTGTTCTTCCAGAAATCTATCATGGTGGATATCATTTTAAAGAGCACAATTAATCTAATTTATCTGTGCAAAAAAAATATAAGTTTCAACTTAAAAGGAAAAAAATTGTCTGTTAAAAATTAAAGGGGAAAAGATTAAAGGTTTTTCATGAGTGACAGAAGGGTGTTGATATAGCGGATTCTAGTTGGATTACTCCTTGTTACTCACCAAAAAGTTATTAACCTGATCCGCTCTCCCTTCCACCAGTCACGATAAGGAGTCGTCCTCAAGTATTGGTGGCACTAGAAGCGGTATCGGTGGATCATCTCTGGTTGGTGGATATTGAAGCGGGAGATTGAAATTCCGCAATGGGATATTCATATCGCTCAACACCTGTAACGCAACCTGAATCGGGAGCCTACGGTTGCGGTTCGGGTGAGCACAATGGAGCCCCACCATCAACAACCGCTGCAACTCATCTCTATCAAACTTCCCTTCCAGTCTCGGATCCACTGCCTCGAACACATTCCCCCTCCCGTAGATCTCCCAAACCCACCTCACGATGTGCTTCTCCATCACCACCGCCCTCCTCCCGCTCGCCACCTCCAGCGCCACCACCCCGAAGCTGTAAGTGTCCGACTCCAGCGCCGACCGTCGATAGTCCACGCGCTCGGGTGCCATGTACGCAGGCGTTCCGCCGTGCTCCGCGTGCGACCGCACGTCCTGGTCCACCACCCGAGCCAGCCCGAAATCGCCCAGTTTGGCATTGAACTCGGAGTCCAAAAGCACGTTGCTGCTCTTCACATCCCCGTGGAGCACGCTGTTCCCGTTGCCTCCTGCTTGCAGATAGCTCAGTGCATTAGCGAGTCCCTTGGCGATGTGGTACCGTTTCTCCCAGTCCAGCGTCACCGTGCTCATAGTAAACTGCCCGTTACCGTCGCCGTAGAGATGCAGGTCCAAGCTCCGGTTCTCCATGTACTCGTAGATGAGGTAGTAGCACGATGCCTCCAAGTCATTCGACCATCCCAACAGCCTCACCAAATTCTTGTGTCTCAACTGTGTGATGATCACCAGCTCCGCCATGAAACCTTCTATCGCAGCCCCGTCCAGCGGTACCTTCTTCGCTGCTATCAGCTGGCCGCTCGACAGCTGTCCCTTGTACACCATCCCGAATCCGCCTCTCCCGATTAACTCGCTGAAATCTTTGGTCGCTCGCTTCAGTTCCGCTAGTGGAACGGACTTCGCTCCCTCGTCGATCGAATGTTTGCTTCTGTCAAGACGCCGTCTCAGCAGAGGGATTCCGGACAACTCCTCCTCCTCCTCCTCCTTCCAACCGTTTTCTTTTTCTTTCTCTTTGTTTTTCATCGCAACAACATATAGTCGACTGGAGAAAACCCGACCCGGTACAATCCACCATGCAAAAGTAGCGCTACCTATTATAACCACCCCGATTAGTAAGATCAATCTCATGATCCTGGCTGTCCTAGTGTTCGTGGTGCTCATGACATAGTCTTGGTAATTACCGTCCAGATCGGAGGAGAAGGACCAGGAGTCGATGGTGTGAGACTGATACCTGCAGTGATGTAGTCAGGATGAGATCTCGTTTATGAATGAATTTTTGTATTCAAATGTATACAGTACATGCAACTTAATTAATATATTCCAATCGAATTATTGTCACTCATGAAATTATCTATTGTTCAGATATATATATAACTTACTTTTGGGGTAAACTAGTATAGCTAAAAATTGACTTTTAGTCAATTAGCTAAAATATACATTTGATAGTCGAAATTTTCAATATTAAAAGAACAAATATTTAGAGTACGTTGAAAAGCTTTACTAGTTTTATGTTTCCTATATATATATTTGATGGAATGGGAAACTTTTTAAATTACGAATTGAAAATGTGATTTTCATTTTCAATTGATCATAAAGAATGATATTTATTTGCATATACCTATTATTGATTGATTTATTATGAGAGACAGTTAACGTTTGTAAAAATAAACTTCTTAATCCTTAACCTACAAATAAATATAACTATATTTTTTCACCGCTCCACCTCCCTTCGCCACCACTAGATACCTGAACGCCGTGGAGGCAGAGAAGCCGACGACCACCCATTCCGTCAAGTAATCCCTCAGGTCCACTCCGTAGCAGAGACTGTCCATCACAGCCTCCTCCTCCTCCTCCACGGTGGTGTTGTACACCACGCACAGCTTCTTCGCCACGTAAGACACCCGGACCCACGTGGTTGTCCTCCCGTCCACGTAGCTCCGCCACCGCTTGCTCGCCACCGACTGCATCGAGTCCACGTCGATCCCCACGTGGTTCAGGCCTCCGTGAGACGTGTCCCACGCGTCGTCGTACGTGTCGAACTCCACGGCCACGAACGCCCCGCTCGGCCCCGCCGCCGTGGAATTGTACGTGAAGTTCTTGTGGACCAGCCCGAGCCGGCCGTACGAGGCGTGGGCCGGTGTGACGTAATCGTGCGGGGCGAGGAAGAACGCGAGCCCGTCGCAGGTCCAGCTGCCGTTGTCGTTGTCGATGGCGAAGGTGAACTCCGTCGTGAAGTTGGCGAGCTGGCCCGTGGATCTGTCCCACAGGTGCATGGGCTTTGGGTGCCGGGCCTGCCCCGTGGCCCAGTAAGCGAACGGGGTGAGCTGGACGGCGGAGCCCGCGCAGGAAGCGTACCCGTACAGCTTCACCGCGGCGTCGCTGCAGATTTGGTCCGTGAAGTTGAAGGACAGCGGTGCCGCCGCCGCCGTGAGGGTGGTGATAATTGTCATAATAAAGAAGTTAGCAGTGAGGACGACGGCGACGTCTCCCATGGAATTGAGAACGATGAATAATATCGTCTCAAAACCATAGCCAAGCTGGACTCGATCTCTCGGCTAGATAAAGTCATTTGGCAGATCTAGCTATCGATCTTTGCCTTAGCTACAAGAATCAAAGTCAGAGTAGCGTGTTGAATATAGCGTGTCTCCCTTGGGATTTTTAATTTTAATAGTAGCCTTCTTATTGGTTGAATGTGATTAGGCCAACCACTAATCATGATTAAGCTTATTAAATCAAATATCGTATAAAGTATAAACCCTTTCCACAAGACTACAAGTCTACAACAAACTAACTGGGGCCCACCGCATACCTCGAAGCAGACGAAATTGCCGGTCAACTATGTTCTCCTTTAAATCGCTTTCACGAGGAAGCAAGTGGGCATGGTCCGTCACTCGTTACGAACTTACGATGCATGCATATCAAATCAAATCATCAAACAATACATTATGGAGGTTCTGCTTTGGCACCCCCTTAATCTTACTTTTCTTGGCCCCAACGCACACCACGGAAGGAGCCTATGGTCATTTCACTTTTAATTATTAAGGTTAATCACTTATTTCCAGCTTCTTTAATGGTCATTTAACTTTTAATTATTAGAGGACGAAATTATTTAATTTATATGGTACTTATTTCCAGCTTCTTTAACTAACCAATGACTAATATACAAGACAATTATAATACATTAATTCATATGTGAATATATCACTGCCCATAAAAAATACAAATCCAAAGTCTAACTCATCATTTCATTCCAATATATACGACACACAAATAGTGGCTGAATTGAATATGAATACCAAAAAATGGATTAGCTAGCTTGCAAATGTATTCCTGCTACACCCGTTGTAACTTTGCAATTAAGTAGCAACGATTGCTACTGACAATAGTGTTAAGAAGGCGGGATACATAATCATACACAACAACTAACTCTCACCCGACTACTATATAATCCATGGATTAGAGACATCATGCTACTCCCACCCAACACTTCCATCCTTTCCCGATTGATTATATGTTGGCTCATGAATTATTGCATGTATTCTATGATGATTGTCATCGTCGTTCTTCTGTTACTTTCACCAGCAAGTCCTTATTCAAATGTTGTTGATGTCTTACTAAATTTAGTTTCTTTTTCTTACTCACTATCCGGTTGCAATTGCCTCAGTACTAACAGGGCCGGAGGGAGAGTGGTATAGTGGTATCAACCCTAAATCTTATGACAAAGATTTGGTTACTCATTAGCCAGTAATCAGTGTTACTGACCGTATTTTAAGCCTTTTGTTTCACATGAGTCCACATTAGAAAATAGAAACTCAATTTTGTATCGCAAATTCTTAACAAACCCTTTTTTTGTATTAACTTCTACTACAACTTGTAAGGTGGCAAATAGTTTATTTTATAATAAAGAACTAAATAATAATATAATGAAACAAAAAAAAAATGGTTAATTAGGAATGTTTCTATCTAACATACCTTGTGACGTGGATGGCCACTCAACATGGGTAATTAGGAATATTTTCCCTCATATCTTCAAAAACTTTAAACTTAGAGTATTTCTCCAAGGAATCAAAACGGATCTTGTCGTTGATTTCAGATCCAAAGTATATAAAACAACCAGGGGAAAGTAGGGGCAGCTCATCGATCAATCCGCAGTCAACAAAATGTCAGAATAGACTGCCGCGCCGTCCAAAAAGCAGGGTTCAAACCTGCTCGAGTTTTTTTTCAGTAATATAATAGTAGTGAGTAGCCACACATATCAATCCAATTTATGCCCAAGTTTTAAGCCATACTTCACATCCGATCCAAAACCTCGTCTTGTTCCTCAAAGTATGAAGAAATCTGGTGTGCAAGCATCCGCCTCCTTGAAGGAGCCGTCTTCTCCTTCTCCTTCCGATCCCAAGCAGCAGTCTCTTCCAGTGGGAGAGTACGAGGTGTTCTTAAGTTTCAGAGGTCCAGACATTCGCGATTCCTTTGCCGATTGGGTCTACAGAGGTCTGGTTCGTTCCAAAATCCGCACTTTCAGAGACGAAGAAGACTTACAAAGGGGGGAAAAGATGGAACATTTTCTCCTCCGAGCTATCGTCGAAACGAAGATCTACGTCCCCATCATCTCCCCCAAATACGTTGACAGCAGGTGGTGCCTCCAGGAGCTTGCTAAGATGGTGGAGTGTTGGAAGCTAGGGAAGGGACACGTCATCCTTCCGATCTTCTACTTTGTTGCTCCCAGTGAAGTGAAGAAACAGGAAAGCGTTGGTTTCAAATCGGCGTTTAAATTGTACGGTGAGAAATTTGACGCTGCGACCATTGGGCAATGGAAAGAAGCTCTCAAACAAGTCGGGGAAATGAAAGGTTGGCACGTGACAGAACATGTTGGGTACGTATGTTTTTTTTTTTTCTACTTTCAATTTTTTTTGTCTCCTGCGGATCGATATGACATTAACTTATAACCAATATTTACATAAATGATTAATATAAAATGCACAATATATTTTTTACACAATTTCATTAATCTCATCGATCAATCATATATTCTAATCAATCATTCATTATTTCATGATAAACAATGAGCCTTAGCATCCAATTAATGGTAAGGGCCCAAAGGAATTAAGAAGGTAATTGAGAAGACTTAGGAAGAAGTAATTGAATAGGAATGAAACAAATTGGGGAGAATAGGGTTTAGAAAAGAAACATGCATGATAGAGACAATAAAGAATTAGGAGAAGTGTATTACTTAATTTGATTGATGTTTTTTCATAGAAACGAATGATACAAAATAACAAGTCTGAAATAGAAAACACCTACTCCTAAAAGTATCCCCAAATTATGATTATTTAACTAGCTACTAATAACCTCCTATTTTTCAATGTAAAAAAAAAATCCCTCTAGTTACTCAATATTCACCCAAAAAAAAATAATAACTACTCCATTAATCCATGCTTAATGTAATCATCAAATTGTTATTTCAATTATTCTTTTAATTAAAAAATTTATCATTCAGGTCATGATATCGTGTATCATACTCATATTTCAATCACATGTCATACAAAAAAAATATTCTTTCAAAAAAAAAAATATTTCATTCAGGCAAGGTTGTCAACCCGCGGGTTGACCCAGACCGGTCGAGCTAGTGGGTCAAAGGTTAATGGGTCACCCGGTTTAGCCCGAAAATATGGAAAGAGTCATTATATTGTACTTATCCTGATAAATTATACAAAATCTCATCTAACATATGAGTTATAACATATAATATTACACCAAAATAACATGTCGTACTTAGATCCAACATATAGTGAAAATTCACACACACTTATATAACATCAATATTCAAATGTTCAACTTAGGATTCCAAAGATTGAGTTAGGCGAAAAGAAAAATCGAAAAATAGGCGCATTTCGCAAACCAAAGAAAAAAATGATACAATTTGACCTCCAACCCGGTACCTTGTAGCGGTCGGCCCGACGGATGTGTGCAGTCTGTTTTTCTCACCGTGCCAGCGTCAAAGTGGGTCGACCCGTGGGTGCGGGTTGACAACCTTGATTCAGGTCATGATACCGTGTATCATTCTGCTTCTCCTCTATCTATTTTTCTTTTAAATTAACTAATAAATCAGTTCACCCTTACCAAAAAAAAAAAAAATTTCAATCTCATGTCTATTTGATAGGGAATCAATTAAGTACAATCTCATTGATAAAAATTTTGGATTTTAATTTTCAGACAAGGGACTGTGATAAACGAGGTTTTTGTACAAATTGAATCCCATCTAAGGAATAGTTACAAGCTGGCCACAGATGAATTGGTGGGAATTAATTCCCATGTAGAAAAAATGAAGAAATTGTTGAATCATGTTGATTCTGCTAGTCAGAAAATTGTGGGTATTCATGGTATGAGCGGTACTGGTAAAACAACTATAGCTAAGGCCGTCTACAATGAAGTTTCTGCACAATTTGATCAATCATGCTTTATGGAGGATGTACGGAGAATCTTATCAACGGAGAATGGTGGTGATGTTACTCTGCAAACTAATATTATTTCAAGTATTCTGAAGGTTGATTCTCAAGTTAGAAATGTCGGTGAAGGAATAAACATCATAAGAGACAGAGTTTGCCGGCACAAAGTTCTTATTGTTCTTGATGACGTGGATGAAAGATTCGACTTCGATCGAGTTTTCGGTAGATTAGACTACTTTTCTACAGAAAGTAGATTTATTATCACTACGACGGACAAGAGGGTTTTGATCAAGTTTGATCATAAGTTGTACGAACCAGAAGAAATGAGTCACGAGTACTCCCTTATGCTTTTCAGCAAGCATGCTTTTGGGGCTGATCATCCTCCAGGGGAGTTCCTTGATAGGTCTGAGAAGTTCGTTGAAGCCGCATCAAGATTACCTATAGCTCTTAAGGTCATAGGATCACTTTTGTTTCGTAGAGACATGAAATTTTGGGATGCGAAGCTGGCGGAATTAAGGAGCATACATCCTACCAAGGTGCAAGAGAGATTGAGGATCAGCTACAACGAATTGACGTACTATGAAAAACAAATATTTCTTGACATCGCTTGTTTCTTCGTCGGAGAGGGTAAGGAAATACCATTTTACATGTGGGACGGCTGTGGTTATCATCCAGAAGGTGGGATTGATTCTCTTTTGATGAAGTCCTTGATTAAAATCAACGAAAAGAATCAATTTTGGATGCATGATCACTTTAGACGACTAGGGGAACACATTGTTCATGAAGATTACCCACAACAGTCTTTCAAGCGTAGCAGAATTTGGTCAAATGAAGATGCTTTGGAGATTTTAAGAAGTGGTGGTCAGGTATAATTTTCACTTTATATCTACAACTTGGTCAAAGGCATTACATTGCTAAGTAGAATTTTAATACCATTTAATTAACATGCAGGCCAGGCGTAGTTATTATCGAGTAGAAGCTTTAAGAATTGACATGAGGAATATGATCGAAGGCCAGGACGGCGTCGTACCATTAATGAAGAAGCTGCCAGGGCTAAGATACCTTGAAGTGGCCTATGGAAGGCTGGTCGGAGATCTCAAAGAGGCTCTTCCGAAGCTACGATGCCTTCGACTGCGCCATTGCAGCTCCGTTCCGGCCAATTTCAGCATGGAGGAATTGACAGTTCTCGAGCTACGTGGTTCCACAGTTAAAGATGATTGGAAAGGCTGGAACGGACTACTACTTAAGGTTAAGTATACCATCTCATTATGAATTCATATTTAATTACTAATTTTTTTTTTGGAGGCGATAATTGACTAATTATTTCTCTGATAATAAAATTACATCTTCGTTCGTTGAAATAAATTTATTCACAAAACAGTTCGAGCAGTAAGACACTTCCATTTGCGTAACGTCTTAATTATTGAGTAAGACATACGTATTAAACACGTTTTTTTTTTGTTAATATTAAGAAATAACCATTCCTTCGACCTCTATAAATTATTATGTAATATTCTATAAAGTATGGTCTAATAGTAAAATCAAGTTACAGCAGCTGAGTCTCACTTGATTAAACTATGATGTAAAATGAACTTATCTTACGGAAACTTTAATTTACTTAATGAAACAAAAACTTAGTTAATAATAAGTGCATTAAGTTATGAAATGTATAAATTTTGATTAAATTATTATGTCCGTCCGGCCTTACAAAACTTTTGTGTAATGTAGTCGCTAACAATTTACTTAATAATTTAGCAATTGTTTTACTACTACTATTATTTTTGAGTAAAGAATAATGATATTTTAAATTGTGCTTATATTATATGCATTCAAACTTATATCACGAAAGAATTGCATATGATACGTACAGGGAGCACGCCAGTTGAAAGTTGTGGATCTCTCATCGTGCCGTGACTTGGAAACGCCTCCAGATTTGTCTCGATGTCCAAGTCTGCAAGTGCTCAATCTCTCCCACTGTTCAGCAATGAAAGGACAACTCCCCATTAGCAGTCTCACCGAGCTAAGGCAGCTCAACATCTCTCGAACCAAAATAACAGAGCTAAGTGGTGGCGACAATCTTACTACCAAGCTTCAGAAGCTCCAAACGATCAGTGCGCTGGATTCTGCTCTGACAAGCTTGCCAGCCGATTTACAACACTTGAGCTCACTCAAGACCTTAGAATGGACAACCAATTCCCGAAATGCAACTAACGTGGATCACAATAAACTACTTTTTCTGCCGGCGGGGTTGACCCGCCTGACTCTCTCGCGCACCAAAGTAGCCAACCTTTCCGATCTCGAGGACTTGGAAGAGCTACGATTCGAGCATTGTCCTCCTCAGACCTCAATTCTCGAGGATATAGCGCGACTGTTCAAGTTGAAGACCCTGATGCTGCGGTTCTCCGAAGACAGTTCAAGCCAAGACGATCAGAGAGCCATCACGACGATGGCTCTCCCGTTGTCGCTGACCCGCCTTCACGTGAGCCACTGCATACATCGGGAGACATCTTTCCCGAGCCTCGTGGGATTGACCCGGTTGACCGAGTTGTATCTGATAGAGTTCAGTTTCCTAGAGATCCCGAGTTTGAACCAACTTGTTGCGTTGGAGACTCTGAGAATTTTGAAGGCGCCAAATCTAGTGAACTTGGACGGGCTCGAGGGGCTGGAGCACTTGATCTACCTAACTTTTGAGAATTGTGGCGCCCTGAAGACGATACCCAGTCTTCGGGCTAGTTCGACCAAGTTGCAGAAACTAGTGATCCGCAGGTGTCCTCGACTGACTGAGATTCAAGAATTCGATAAGTTGAAAAAGTCTTTACCAAGTAAGCTCATACGCATACGGGAGTGTCCTAGTCTCGTAATTGTTGACGAGGAGGGAAGTTCTTCAGGCCAAGACAGTGCAAGGACAAGTTTCGTTAGTACAGCTGGTTGAGGCGAAAACATTATGTATAGATCGACCAAGAAGCTTTTTCCCCATTGAAATTTAACAACGCTTTTGTGTTGGAAACCCTAAAAACTTGGATTGTCTCATTGTAGTTTCAGCTTATATAGCTGTTTACAGTAGTACAAGTGAGCTATCACAAATGTAGAAGAAGACAAGGTTGCTTCAACTGCAAGTACAACCCGAAACGGGTAAAATGACGAAAAATAGAAGTTCAGGGACTAAAGGTGTAAATGTCTATCCCGTCTTGTTTTTCCCTGAAACGATGTCGCTTCAGGTTCTGCGTGGTCTTGGTTGACTTAGTGAAACGCCGTCGTTGGGGTGTTGGCTTCCGTTAGTTGGCAAAGCGGTGTCGTAGTGATGTTGGGGCAGAACGCCGTCGTCTGGAAGGCAGGATTGAGAAGAATTCAAATGTTCTGAATTCTTCTCCGATAGCCCCCCGCAAGCTGGTGGGCAGAGTTCATGGATACCAAGCTTGGAGAGAAGGTGATGAAAAATGGCCGGGGAGAGAGGTTTGGTGAAGAGATCGGCCAATTGGTGAATAGTGGAGACGTCAAGGACCTTGATGGTGCCATCTTGAAGCTTCTATCGGACGAAGTGACAGTCCAGTTCTATGTGTTTCGTCTGTTCGTGGAACGTTGGGTTCTCGGCGATGTAGATGGCCGATTGGTTGTCACAGTATAGCGATGCTGCTTGAGGATGTGCAATTTTGAAGTCGTGAAGCAGGTAGAGCAGCCATTGCACTTCACATGTGGTGTATGCAAGGGCACGGTACTCTGCTTCACAGGAGGAGCGAGAGATGGTGGTCTGCTTCTTGCATTTCCAGGACACAAGGGAGTCGCCCAAGTAGACACAGAAGCCGGTGACAGAGCGGCGTGTGTCGACGCAGGCGGCCCAATCAGAGTCACTGAAGGCCTTCAAGTGGAGAGAGGATGAAGAAGGGAAGAAGAGACCATTGGAGGGAGCTGACTTGAGGTACCTCAGTATTCTGGTTACAGCTTTGAAATGTGAATCGCTAGGGTTAGACATGTATTGACTTACTTGTTGGGTTGCGAAACTGATGTCAGGCCTTGTTGTGGTGAGGTAAATGAGCTTACCAACGAGTCTTCTGTAGTGTTCTGGTTCAGGGTAAGGATCATCATGTTGAGCAGTCAAGTGTGTCTTGTAATCAATGGGAGTAGTGACTGGTTTGGTGTTGATCATTGCTGCATCATCCAGAATCTCCAATGTATATTTTCTTTGAGAAATATGAATCCCAGAAGTAGATCTTGATATTTCAATCCCCAGAAAGAATTTCAAATCACCCAAGTCTTTGATACTGAATTCTTGATGCAAATAGGCCTTGATGTTGATAATTTCAGTCAGATCATTGCCTCCAATGACGAGGTCGTCAACGTAGACAAGAATGCAGGTGTAGGAGGTTGATGTTGCTTTCTAGAACAGTGAATGGTCCACTTTGCTAGATGTGTAGCCTTGAGAATGGAGTTTCTCAGCAAGCTTGGAGAACCATTGTCTCGATGCTTGTTTGAGACCATAGAGTGATTTCTTTAGTCGACAAACAGGGTTCTTAATTCCTGGGGGTGATATGTAACCATCTGGAAGTTTCATGTAGACACATTCCTCCAAATCTCCATGGAGGAATGAATTGTTGATGTCTAACTGATGCATATGCCAGTTGTGGATGGATGCCAGAGCTAGGAATAGTCTGATTGTAGTCATTTTCACAACAGGGGTAAATGTATCTTGGTAGTTAATGCCTTCTTGTTGTGTGTAGCCCTTAGCAACTAGTCTTGCCTTCCTTCTTTCTAGGCTACCATCAGAGAGGAATTTAAACTTGTATATCCACTTGTTGCCAATGAGTTTGACATTGGGAGGAGCCTCCACAATGTTCCAAGTCTGGTTCTTGTCAAGAGCTTGAAATTCATCCTGCATTGCAGCATTCCAGAATGGAGACAAGATGGCCTCCTTGTAGGATTCTGGTTTTTTGTAGGAAGAGATTCTCAATGCAAAGTGTCTGTTAGTAGGAGACAAGTGATCATATTGAATAACTTTACTGAGTGGGTAGGTGATACCTGGACAGTGCTGTTGAGTGGGATGACTGGTGGAAGAAAGCTGCTGAAGCAGGTTGCAATGGTATAGTTGGAGGTGAGATGGTGGTTTAGGAGTTCTGGTGGATTTCCTATAGGGATGACAGGTGGAGGTGGTGGTGGTTGGGGGGGGGTGGGAGAGGGAGGTTGGGGAGGGGTAGGGTTGTGTGGATCAATGTATGTGTCACTATCAGTATCAAAATGGATGGTGTTTAAGTCAGTGAGAGTGTGAGAGGGGATGGTGGGGGCTGGTAAGTGGGGCTGGGATCATCAAAAGAGGAAGGGGTAAGGTTGGGATTGTATAGGTCAGTGTGAAGGGAGGAATTAGTTTCATGGTGGAAAGGGAAGTGGTTTTCATGAAACTGAACATCCCTTGAAGTGAAGATTTCATGGGAAGTGAGGTCATAGATCCCGAACCCCTTTATTCCAGATGTAAAGCCAATAAAAATGCCTTTTCTAGCTCTGGAATCAAACTTGGTTCTATGGTTGCCGAGGGTGCTTGCAAAACACAGGCAACCAAAGACTCTGAGGTGAGAGAGGTCTTGTGGTTTTTTGTGTAGTTTTTCAAAAGGTGTGAGATTGTTTAGGACAGGAGTTGGAACTCTGTTGATTAGGTGTACAGCATGTTTCACACAATCTGCCCAGAAACCAGGTGGGAGGTTGGCTTGAAATTTTAGTGCTCTGGCAACAGCAAGTATGTGCTGGTGTTTCCTCTCTACTTTGCTGTTCTGTTCAGGAGTTTCAACACATGATTTTTCATGGAAAATGCCAGTGTTTTGAAAAAAATCATTCATCCTGAACTCTTTGCCTTGATCACTTCTGATTCTTTTAACATGAGTGTCAAACTGTCTCTCAATGTAATGACAGAACTCTTGTAGTTTAAGTCTGGCCTCAGATTTGGCTTGTAAAAGAATAACCCATGTCATCCTAGATAAATCATCTACAATGGTCAAAAAATATCGATATCCATCATAGCTAGGAACAGGGTTTGGCCCCCAAATATAAGTATGTATCAATTGAAAAGGATTCTCAGTTACAGTTGAACTGGAAGGAAATGGCAGCCTCTTCTATCTAGCAAAATGACATACATCACAGGATATAGAGCTGTATGTTTCTATGGATGTACACAGTTCCTTCAAAAGAGGTATTTTGGAGTGGGAGACATGCCCTAATCTTTTGTGCCAAAGGTCAAAAAGGTGCACTACTAGTTGCAGTATTGTGTTTAGGTATAGTAGAGGTATCTATGTTGTCTAATAGGTAGAGGCCATGAGACAGCTTAGCAGAACCAGTCATCCTCCTCAGTTGCATGTCTTGAATCAAGCACACATCAGAAAAGAAAGTTAAGCAAAGTGATTTGTTCTTGCTCAACTTACTGACAGACACTAAGTTGAAGTTAAACTGAGGAACATATAAAGCTTCCTCAAGCACCAGGTCTGGGAGACATCTCACAGTTCCTGAGTGACTAGCTTCAACTCTTTGTCCAGTGGGAAGTGTGATGTAAACACCACTGATTTGTTTGTGGTGTTGGAGAAGATCAAGGGAGCAGACAATGTGATCTGATGCCCCAGTGTCTAGGATCCATAACTGGTTGTATGGACCCTTGTTTTGTGCATTGAAAACATATTTACCTGAGGATTCTGGTTTGCTGGTAGTGAAAGCTGCAGCTGAGAAGCTTGGTCCAATGGAGGCTTGATCATTCTGACTCATCATCTGCTTAAACTTCTCATACTCAGCTTTAGTAAGCTTGACTTCTTGCTGACCTTTGTCTCCAATCATTGTGGTGGCTGCATTGACTTGAGGTCTCCCTCTTCCTCTTCCAGTTCCAGGAGGGTAGCCATTCTTCTGATAGCACTTGTCTTCTGTGTGGCCAAGTTTTTTGCAGTGGGTGCACTCAACTGGTCTTCCAGTGGCAGTCACACGCCTAGGAGTCATGCCTGGTGGCCAGCCATGTTTGTGATAACAAACATCTTCAGTATGCCCTAGTGCTTTGCAGTAAGTGCAATAGGGTATGGTTCTTTTGTTTGCGGGGATGTTGTTGTGGGAAGCAAAGGCAGTGCTCTCAGCAGCTAGGGCCTTGGCTTGATGGCTCCCATACCGATGTCTCTCATGTTGAAGCATCCTCTGGAACACCCTATCAATGGAGGGGAGGGTGTCCTGGAACAGAACCTGTGACCTAACTGTGCTATAGTTCTCATTGAGTCCCCTGAGGAACTAAATGACATAGCCAGTGTCCCTATAACCCATGACCTGTCTCATAGCCCTACATGTGGAGTGGCTGGTGGGAGTGCAGTCACAAGGATCTAAAGGCTGATAGTTATCTAGTTCATCCCTCACAGCAATCATCTCACCATAGTACTCAGTTAGGGTTTGGTTACCTTGTTTCACGGTGGCCAGAGCCTCTATCAGCTCTGCTATCCTCACCATGTCCCCTTGTCCATATCGAGCCCTTAAGCTTATCCAGGCTTCTGCAGCTGTCTTGAAAGACATGATTGTCTTCCTAATCCCAGGCTCAACTGCTTGTTGGATCCAAGACAGGACCATGATGTTGTTCCTGTTCCAAGACCAGGCTTGTGGGTTGTCTGCTGCTGGTTCAGCCAGAGTGCCATTGATGAACCCAATCTTCTTCTTGGCTCCTAGTGCATTGTACATCGCTTTGTTCCAATTATTGTAGTTGGTGGTGGTGAATTTCTCCGCCACCAATATTTGCCCTGGTTGTTCAGAGCCATGAAGGTAGTATGGATCTGCCATCGGATCCTGAAGTGTGGTGGTATGTTCAACATTGGTGTTGGCTGCTGCATTTCCTCCATCAGTGCTCATATTCACATCAGCCATGGTTGTGGCGGCACCTAGGGTTCAAGAGAACTAGGCTCTGATACAATAACAACGCTTTTGTGTTGGAAACCC